GCGAAAGTAAGGCCAGCCAAGGGAAGTGGATCGGACGGGGAGCTCAGTTGCAGGATGAATTTCTCTATGAAAGCTCCATGATCCTGCACAGCCATTGCAAGACCTGAGATCGGTCTCCCTGATCCAAATCCACCCCGAAAACCCTAATAATGGCTGGAAATTGCAGAGAAGACCAGGACAATGAAAGAGGAAGAGAGCTGAATTAAAAAAATGGTTACTGAAATGCCCAAAAATTATATTTGAAAATAACGGATTCTATGAAAATAAAATGTTAAATTAATTAAAAAAAAAAAAGAAAAAAGAAAAATACTCGTGAGATATAAAATCCTATTAAACCTTTTAAACTCTCAAAAAAAAAAAAAAATTTAAATAAAACGTATTTATTATCGGATGAATAAAAATACACTTCGAACCTTAAAAAATCAGTGTGGCTAATCATCCTCTCGAACCAGCTACTGATAATCGCCTTGGTAAGCCATTGCCTCACCAATTAGCTAATCAAACGCGAGCCCCTTCTCGGGCGGATTCCTCCTTTTGCTACTCAGCATACGGGTATTAGCAATCATTTCCAGCTGTTGTTCCCCTCTCAAGGGCAGGTTTTTACGCGTTACTCACCCCTCCTCCGCCACTGGAAACAACACTTACCGTCTCCCAGTAAGGAAATTTCTGGCTAAATGAGTCACAACAATTGCTCCGTATAATCTCATTTGGCCGATTCATAATCAATTAGACATTTTTTGACACCTCGAGCTTGACCTCTTCATTGATTTGGCTTGAGTTTGTTATTTTTATACCCTTTTGAGGTCGACTCATCCGACTCGGGTATGATACATTTGAACCATTTTCTACAATTTTTTACTCTTTGGGAGGCATTCTTGACGCGAGGCGCTTAAAGTTAGTATTGCTACTTTTTAGCTAATTTAAATTGTTAGGAGATATATGCAAATTAGGTTTATAGTAGAATGAGATTTCAATGAGTAGCTTTAAACTAACGTCTCACGGGAATCAAGTAAATGGTTTTACTTTTGGCTTGATTAGATGATGTGTGTCCTATGGCATCTGCACATGTCGTGCTTTTATGATTGTATGATATGTGCATAAAATCCTTTCCTAATATGTTTAGTACGAACACGTACTGTAAGGATCGAACTGACTCGATGACTCAAAAAGACGGATAAATTTTCTGCAAAATAAAACAAAGAAATTTAAAACATTATATTTACATTATATCAAAATAGACTTTATACGTAAGTATTCAAAACACAGTATACTAGTTAAAACACAAAATAATAGTTAGAATACAAAACAAGGAACGAACACAAAACACTTTAAGACAAAAGGGTTGAGGACGACGGGTAAGGTTAGTCTATGGCACCTGCTCCAGAGTCCGCTCCCGACCTCGACCAGCTCCTTATCACTAGAAAAAAAATGGAGAATAAGAAATGAGTACAAGACTCAGTAAGTAGTAGGCTCTTAATCATGTCCTTGATATGCTAGGGTACTACATTCTTTGTTCTTGTCTTGTTCTTATTGTAACTATTTAGGCCCTCTAATTCTTATTCTTGACTTGAGGTTCTTATCTTGATCTTTCTTGAGAATCTTGGTCCTTGAATTCTAAAACCTTGGTTTTCCTTTAAGGCCCTTAGTACTATGGTTTTTGTTCTTAGTTCTCGGTCCTTTGTTCCTGGTTCTTGTTCTTAGAACTAAGATCTTGATCCATGTTCTAGTCCTTGATCTTTCTCTTGTTCTTGGTACTTCCTAGGTTCTTGTTTTGTTCTTGGTTTGTTCTCCAAGACACTCCCCCTAAGATTTACGGCACTAGACATGCACCGGACAATCCTGTGTCCAAGGCTTCATGTGTTCCAAGCGACAGAACCTTAACCTACGTCCAAGGCTTCATGCGTTCCAAGCGACGTAGTCTTACTGCATCTTAAGGTTTGCCTTTCGATATGGTCTGCTTAACCTATGCCCAAGGTTTCATGCGTTCCAAGTGGCATAGTCTGAAAACCTACATCCAAGACTTCTTACGTTCCAAGCGATGTAATCTTAATACTACATCAAGGGCTTGCCCTATAATACAGTCTACTTAACCTATGCCCAAGGCTTCATGCGCTCCAAACGGCATAGTCTGAAAACCTACATCCAAGGCTTCTTACGTTCCAAACGAAGTATTCTTAATACTGCATCAAGGGCTTGCCCTATAATACAATCTGCTTACCTACGCTTAAGGCTTCATGCGTTCCAAGCAGCGTAGTCTAAATCATGAGCATGTTGTACCGTGGGAGGTCTTAGGAGGTTCTTGATTTGTGGCTAAGGTAACTTACTCTCTTCTTACTGTGACCTTAGACTACTCCCCTTGATAGACCATAAAGGTCACTTGTTCGGTGCATACTTGAACATGGCATCCTGCAAGTCTGCAGGGCATCTCTTCTAGGTGAGGGAAACTTGAAGCATGACATCCTGCAAAGGAAATATGGTGCAGGCATCCCACCTAGAAGAGGAATTCTTGTGCACCGCTTGGTGGGAGGTCATGGGTCACTTTGGACATGACTAGAGTATTACCTAGCATTCTTGAGTTTCTGAGTTTGGGGACCTTGGTCCTTCGTCCTTGAGTGATACCTAGTATTCTTCTTACTTGGGTAGTTATAAAGCTGGTGTGTTGTTGTTCTTGGTTCTTAATTTTGTAAGTTTCTAAGGTCCTTAATTCCTTGAGGCATAAGTTGTAACTTGTATTTGTAACCAATGAACTCATCTTAGTGTAAGTTGTTCTAGAAGATCATAGATTACTAGAGATTTCTTTAAAGGATTCTAGAAGAGTCTTGATACTTGTGGTATTTCCTTTAGATGTTTCTTGGGTCCTAACTTGGTTTAGGTTCCAAACTTGCTTCAATCAACTTGAGACCTCAAACATATCTTCATGTCCTTCGTAATCGACTTCATAAGAAGTAGCAAATCATTTGGAGCACTTATAGACCTTGAATTTCCATAAAGTAGTCCTAAGGGCATTTTGGTCATTTTACCCCTAATTCTTGGTTTTTACGGTAGTTTTCCTTAGGGGCATTATGGTCATTTTGCACTATTTCTTGGTTTACCTACTTATCCTTATCCAATAACCACCAAATTTCACATTTAACCTCAAATGCTATAATATACTCACTATTAAAATTTCATAGGCAGCGTACTTCATTTAGTGGGCTATTTTAACGTTACCTAAATTCTGAGCAATTTGTTCGGTTCAAGGCCTTAACTCACGGTTCATAGGGTTTTTCTTTCATGTATCCTTAGTTCATACTTGGTTTAGGGTTCATATGGAAATCCAAGCGATTCCTACATGTATTTCTTAACAAAAAATTCAAGGTGGCTACTTACCTCGTTGTCGACGTTTGGGACCTCTGTTCTTGATTTTTCAATATCCTAATTACCTCAAATTTCCTCCCACGGACTTCTTATTGTGTCTACTTTCTGGAACCATAAAGTTTTTCATAAGAAACAGTTTGGAAAGGGGTTAAAATTGAGAAAATCTGAGGGAAAGTCAAGTTTTGGGTTGACATGGTCGGTTCAATTGAAGCGGCCACGTCATCATCTTCTTCCTCTAGACGGAAAGAAGACGCAGCTGGCATATAGCACCGCCGTCTGAAACTCGCCCTCCCCAGCTCCAATCACGCCGTTTTTCTCCTCGATTTCTTCCTGAAACTTAAAGATGGTGTTACAAGTTTGAAAGGAAATGGTGAAGAATTGCTCTCAAAATTGAAAGAAACCCGAGAGTAGGAGACCCAAAATATAAACGCTTATTGCCAACGATTGGGAGCTCGACCTTGCTCGATTCTTGATCCAAACTATTGCCCCAACTTCAGAATTTATAAGACTTAAACCGACATTGAGAGCTCTAGAATCGTTGTGAATTGTCAATTGGATTTTTTGAAAAATCCGTCAGAAATATCTACTCCGATCAGAGCCTCACCGACTTTGGTTTTGAATCTTAGGCGTTGGATGAGACAATCCGTGAGTGTTCTAGAATATATACAATTTTGGAGGAGATCCAACAGCTAAGAGTTGAGATTCGAAGTATTTTGTGTAGAAGGCACTGGGAAGGTTCTAATTTTTTTAGCAGAATAGCACATTCGTAATTATCCTTAACTTCAAGGGTATTTTAGTAATTTGCCACTTTCTGAATATTTTATTATTATTCTCAAAAAAATTCATAATTTTCCTAAAAAGTCTTCATCCTTTTTGGTCATTTTTTTACTTCTAGATCATCTTGAAATTCCTTCTAGATAAGGAATTAAAAATTTGTAAAGATCCTTGATAATTGGTAAAATGACCTTTTCGTCCTTTTCGCTTACGTTTTCATTCCCAATCCTTCTCCAAAGGTCTTAAGCCCTTAAGATTACTTCTTCTTAGGGTATAGAAATGACTTACTAAGATTCTTTCCTTGCTTAATCCTTGTAATTTCCTTCCTTGGATCCTTTGGGTCTTGCATAGGTAGCTTCTCTTTATTTTTGGGGTGTTACACGTACCTTACGATATTTATGTTCGCCATGATATTATGCGGGTCATTTCCCTTCGTAGCACCCACTAGTGAAACTGTGCCCTAGTCTCACAAGCCAGACCTAGGAAGTACGTATATGAGCATGCGCTAGCCTGGTGGGTCCATGTGCGTGTGTGTGGGCCGTGTATAAGCAAGTACTACATATCCAACTCTGCCCCCGAAAAGTGAAGCCCAAAGGCATACCATGATGTTTTTATGAAATACTTAATGAGTAATTTTAAATACTCAAGTCACATGCTACCTCTTTTTTAAGTAAAAAGGTAAGGCGCCCTTGTAGAAATGATAACGTCGCTATGAAGGTCATGGAACCAAAGCTAGGACAGTTGTGGGTTTTTGTTTAAACGGTAGCCCTTAAGTCAAATTATGACATTTTCTTTGTTTTTTAACTTGCCATTTAATTTCCGCTATTTTTTTTTTTTATATTTACTTTTAATTGAATTGGGTTTTTACAAATGTTTAAGTCCACGACATTATTTACGAACTATTTTAAATAAAAAAATTTGTGCATAATAGTCATACATACCGTGACAATCTTGTTTTTACGGAATCACTCCACAAAAATCTTAAATCCTAAGACATCCAAGAGACAAAATCTAAGCAACATGAAAGCTCCTACCACCAAAATTCAGATCAAGGTGTATAAGCTCAACCTCGAAGAAGATAAAACCGAAAAATCGAACCGATCAATCGTTTTGCTACCTGACCAACGCAAACCGATCTCTTGTCCATAATCAAGACCCCGTTTCTTTACGATGTGTCGAAACGGCTCAATCGAATAAACAAATGAAGATTGATATTTCTTTGACTTCTCACCAACCAAAGGCAATGGTTCAAACCAAAATGCCTCTTTTTTCACCAACTTTACCTTATAAGTTTCACAAATATCAACATCAAAGATTGATATTTCAATAGGGATCATCTCATTCAAATCTCTATAGCTTCCTTCATTCATATTCCTCAACATCATTTCCTCGAATTCCGTGTCCTCCGAAATCTTGAGACTATCCCAACGTAACCGATCCGTCGACAACTTCATCCGATATGGCCAATAGTTACCACCTCCATAAATCCTACTAATAAGCTCTTCTTTATCCTTCATATCGATCCTCCCACATGTTGGATCATCCAAGCCTCGAGACTCCGAGATCGTTAGATCTTTTGTAAGAAAGGGAAAACTGGACTCGAATTTGTCCAATGATCCAAAAGTTATGTAAGTTTCAGCAAAACGCTCAAGAGTCGGGTTACAAACCGAAGCTCTCTCTCGTTCGGTGTGTATATAGGATTAGATTAGAGATATGACAGTGTTTTCTTTCAATGTTTAAGCTGTAAATTTCAAACTTTTGGTGATTGGTTCAGCTCATGAACAGCTGGCCTAGCTGTTAATGCATTGTATTTGAATGCCAGCAAAGAAATTTATGCTGTGCAAGATAAGGTAAGAGCTGCAACATACCAGAATGTTTCTGTCTTGGCTTGACAGGACCGTATGCACGACAACATGCGATAAAACAAAGAATGTCTTGTAGAAAAGGCTGCACATGTGTTCAAATCGACACTGGAGCAAGACAAAAGCTTCCAAACATGTCATCGTTGAATCTGAACAGATAATTTCCCGTACGCTGGCAAGGTTTGAATGTCATTATGCTGCCCTTTCATTGTCTCAACCTCCCTTTTCATCTGATTTATCTCGTTTTGTGTACTCGTCGTCACAACCCGGCTTTCTGTTTTTCGGTAACTCGATCCAAATGCTCGTTCTTCATACATGCCTGCAAAACTTCAAAAAATTCATGTTAATATCACTAAAAAATCGACCTTCAGATGAAACTTGGCATTTCTCAAGCGATATATAAACGGGACTTTCCTTACCTTCAAGTGAATATCGATTCTCTATCCACCCGTGTGAGATCCCACATCGGTTGGAGAGAACGAAGCATTCCTTGTAAGGGTGTAGAAACCTCTCCCTAGTAGACGCGTTTTAGAACTGTGAGGCTGACGGCGATACGTGACGAGCCAAAACGGACAATATCTGCGAGCAGTGGGCTTAGGCTGTTACAATCGTTCTCCTGTAAGATTTCACCACCCGAGTAATAACGGCGAGATTGTAAACATTTTCGTCATATCCATAGCTCTTGACAAGTAAATCAGAGGCATGGCAATTGCCCAACATCATGGCCAATCTACTTTAAAGCCTAGTTACCAATGCAGAGACAATCTTCATAGCAGATCCCGAGGTAACCGAATTTCCTCTACTGAAAGCAACCGAATCAAACTTTTAACCGCTTTCAACTGTCAAATTCTCAAATACATTCATAGTCACTGTCAGAACAGCATTTCGGGATGCGAAGCCATTTGGCGCTTCGGGGTGATTCTATGAACACGAAATGAGGTGGGATCTTTCGAACGGAGATGCACGTGTCGGTGTATGAGGAGTTTACCAATTCTTGTTACTTCTTTCCATAGACTCAACAACCATGCTTGATTCGACTGGAAACATGAAACACTTACGTCGAAATTTCCTGATCAAAATTCGTCCTTCCTTATGTTATCTCGACAAGATCAATGGTAGTAAACCGAAACTCTAGACAAAACTAGAGACAACAATCATTACCTTTTTGTTCTTCATTTTCATCCACAAAACAAGAAGTTAATGACCTCTCTATTTCGGAAACCCAAGGACTCAATCGTATGGCCTTTGTCTATTATTGTCTTCCCAAATGCAGCCACTATCACAATCCTCATTCATATCATTAGCTGTTATACCATAAAACTTAATGTTTCATCCTCAGCTGAAGCTCACCGCTAGCAAATATTATCCTATTTGCGCTTTCCCTTCTGGGCTTCCCTTAAAGGTTTTAAAACGCATCTGCTAGGGAGAGGTTTCCACACCCTTATAAAGAATGCTCCGTTCCCCTTTATAAACGATGTGGGATCTGAGCCCCAAAGGGGGTGGATTGTGAGATTCCACATCGATTGGAGAGGGGAACGAGTACCAACGGGGATGTTGAGCCCCGAAGGGACGTGGATTGTGAGATCTCACATCAGTTGGAAAAGCCCAAATAGGACAATATCTATTAGCAGTGACCTTGGGCTACTACATGTATGGTCTAAAATGTTTCACAACCATTAAAGAAACGAACACTAAATAAAAAAAGGAAAAAGGAAACCTTCCTACAAGTCGCCTCTCGTACAAGTGTTCAAGTGTCTGACACATGTCCAACATAGATACACTAGTCAAACTGAAGTGTTCATGTTTTTTTACAACAGAATGACTTGTTCATTCTTCAAAGCTGCTAATTTTTAACTAAATCAGGTAGATAGTATTTTATTTTGAATCAAACAAAAGCTGTCTTATAATATAACATTAAGTAGCAAGAAAGAAAAAGAAATCTACATTTTTTTTTATATGGGTTCGCACGTGTGGATCGTGTGTAGGAAAGTACTGCACATCCAATTTTGTCTGGATTGAAGGCCACCTCTACGATGGTTTTAAATAATAGGTCTCTAATCATGTTTTGCATTCCCGACCCCAACAGTGGGGTCACTTACTGAGTATTTCTTAAAATACTCGAGTCATGTGCTACTTCTATATTTCAGGTAAAAGTAAGGCATCCTTGTACGGCTGACGACAACATCACAATTAAAGACCATGGCATATGCATAAGGTAGTCGTATTTAGTTTCGTAGACTTTAGGTTATAGTATAAGGCTTTACTGTTTCATTTTTATTTATTTTAACATTTCTTTATTGTTTTAAAGATCGTTATTTAAACGTGCAAGTCCATGACATTATTTCATGAAGATGTTTTTAAATGATTATTTCCTCTTAAGAATTGAAGGATGAACAGAAAACGAAGACTTTTTCAAGCTCAATCAAGATTATCGACTCTCGTCAAGCGAAATATCTACATAAAGTATGATGCAGGGCTTTAGATCAAATCTTCTATGTAAATTCTCCGGTCAGTCTGTTATGTGTGTGTATGTGTGGTTCGGAATCAATGTGAACTTGCTTCGGAGGAGACTCTGTCCACAACAATTGACACGAAAATGGTGAGAATAGGCCAAATGGAAATCTAAAATCAAACTATGAGGCGATTCATGAAGGTGTTCGGTTCTCGAGTTCGAAAAGTTTGAAGTTGTGTAGCCTAGAGTTGAGAAGCCAAAGTTTGGATGGTTCGGGACGAATTCTCATAAGGAATGATTCTTCGTTGCGGTAGCCAGCTTATATAGTTCGGGGTCGACATTGATTTGTGTGTTTGTGTTCACTGTTTATGTAGTTCATAGGATCTACAAATCCATAGTCTAAGATATGCAAACACAAATAGAGATTGAAGAACTGTAAGCTGTATATATGATTGAAGATAATACTCATAATGCATTTTACAAGCCAGTGTTTTCACTAAAACGTGCATTACTGTACCGACCCAGGCCCACCGCTAGCAGATATTGTCCTCTTTGGGCTTTCCCTTTCGGGCTTCCCCTCAAGGCTTTAAAACGCGTCTGCTAGGGGAAGGTTTCTACACCCTTATAAATGGTGGTTTGTTATCCTCCCCAACCAACGTGAGATATCATAATTACAGAAGACTAAAGAGAATCTAAACACAAAAACCACAAAAATATAAATTTACTTGAAGATAGTCGACATAATGAAGCATATATATATGTACCAGCACGAAAAGGACAGAGAGACGTACGGTTCTCCTTCACCTCGGCGCTGCAAGCTACTATTGATCGGTCGGGGTTCGATCTTGGCCATGCTGCCACATTTGTGGAGGCATGTAAGGGTGTGATTGTTGAGCATAACTACCCGGGTCCATCACGGGCTTGCCCATAATCATTCCTGGTGTCCCAGCCTGAGATGCATGCTGAGACGACATATAGCAGTAAGGAAGTGCATCTCCGGGGGCCCCGACTGTTATTGAGCCTCTTGGAATCGACGTGAGTGCTTCATCTTTCAGATCCTCCCTTGGCACGATATCAACCAGAAAGTCGAAGATATCAGTTCTTGTGATAGCTGCAGCAATGTCATTCTTTTGCAGTGTCCTACGCTTGTTCTCTTCGGTATGACTCCATGACCGTAAAGTCAATTCTAGGATGAACATTTCACATGCTCTAGCAAATAAAACAGGTGCCTCAGCTGATATCATTCGCACGTCCTCGTCAGCCTTCATGATCTTCTTGATCCTTGCTAAGGGAAGACTATGGTTCTTGAAGTCTATTACTCTCTCAATCTCTTGGTATTGATTTGACCAAAAAGCCTGGAGCTGTTGTTGAAGCTGTTGTTGTTGCTGCTGGTGGATATGCTGATAAGCAAGCTGATGTTGAGCAAGCTGAGCTCCACTTGGCTGACTAGTAGACTGAGATCCAGATGTCGGGCCGACAGTCATTTGGCTGGGATGGTACATGCTGCTGCTACCATATGCTATCTGACCTCCGCTGCCTACCGCTCCCATGGATGGAGACTGGCCCTGCCCTTGCTGATCCATCCGACAGCTTTTGAAAAGAAGAACAACAAACGGAATAATCAAATCATATGCACTACACAGATAAGCAGTACATATAATCTATCATACAGAATCTTTACAAGACAGAGACCATCAGAACCACCGAGCTCGTCTAAAACAAACTCGACGCACATTAAGAGAGTGATCGTCGATCGAAGTAAAATTTTCCCAAAATCAGTAGATCTATGATGTCCCATATTGGTTGGGGAGGAGAACAAATCACCCTTTATAAGGGTGTGGAAACCTTCCCCTAGTAGACGCGTTTTAAAGCCTTGAGAGGAAGCCCGAAAGGGAAAGCCCAAAGAAGACAATATCTACTAGCGGTAGACTTGGGCCGTTACAGGATCTCCTCATGTTCTTTCATTATTCAAACCGGTTCAAGTAATGTCCAAACCTTTCTACTGATAAATTTCAAGTCATTACAGAAAGTTCTCAAAGCTGCAATAATCACAGAAGTCCAAATGTTCAAGAATCTATATCTACGTGCTTCCTGACCTTATGTTTCATTGAACAAGCTAAGCAAAAACAGCTACATAAATTTAATGGCACAAAAATAAATCACATTCAAGCCTCAAATCCCAAATCCCGTGCATGTTGGGAGGGAGTCCCACATTGGCTAATTTAGGGAATAGAAATACATCTCCATTGGTATGAGGTATTTTGGGGAAGCCCAAAGCAAAGCCGTTAGAGCTTACGCTCAAAGTGGACACTACATTGTAGAGAGTCGTGATTCCTAACATGGTATCAGAGTTATGCCCTTAATTTAGTCATGTCAATAGAATCCTCAAATGTCAAACAAAGAAGTTATGAGCCTCGAAATTGTAGTCACAAGTGACTCAAGTGTTGAACAATGGGTGTAATTTGTTCGAGGACTCCAGAGGAGTCGAGACTCGATTAAAGGGAGGTTGTTCGAGGGTTTCATAGATCTCAGGGGAGGCTCTATAGTGTACTTTGTTCGAGAAGAGGATTGTTGGGAGGGAGTCCCACGTTGGCTAATTTAGGGAATGATCATGGGTTTATAACTAAGGAATACATCTCCATTGGTATGAGGTCTTTTGGGGAAGCCCAAAGTAAAGCCATGAGAGCTTTTGCTCAAAGTGAACACTATCATACCATTGTGGAGAGTCGTGATTCCTAACATGGTATCAGAGTCATGCCCTTAACTTAGCCATGTCAATAGAATCCTCAAATGTCAAACAAAGAAGTTATGAGCCTCGAAAGTGTAGTAGCAAGTGACTCAAGTATTGAACAAATGGTGTAATTTGTTCGAGGACTCTAGAGAAGGAGTTGAGACTCGATTAAAGGGAGGTTGTTCGAGGGATCCATAGGCCTCAAGGGAGGCTCTATAGTGCACTTTGTTCGAGGAGAGGATTGTTAGGCTTTTTGGGGAAGCCCAACGCAAAGCATCGAGAGCTTATGCTCAAAATGGACTATGTGAAGAGTCGTTAGCATGCATGGTGATTAAATGGGCTGCAAAAACAATTTCTACAAACAACCCACAAGCTTATAAACTCCCCCTTACTGTTGATTTCCCTCACAGGCATTTCATCAAACAGGTAGAGGGCAAAAAAAAAAAAAAAAAAAAAAAAAAAAAGAAAAAATCCC